AAGAATAAGTTCACCTAGGCACAGACTGAGATAGAAGAGACCCTAAAAAGAGCTCTTTTCTATCTCTATTTTTCCCTCTCCAGTGCTGTGAAGAGTGGCTCTAAGTAGGTGTCAGATGCCAGACTTAGTGTCTCTTCATCCCACTCAGCAGTTCTTCCCCAGCTGCCATCACCTTTCCAGGCCACGGCTTTGCAGGGCAGCATCTCCCTGGGCTTTCAGCTGAAACCTGCTCAGTATATGCTTCAGAAAACAAACACACCCCTTCAGAGGACTTGAGGCATCCTGTCTGTCAGCTCACAGCCTGCAAAGCCCAACCTGAGACAATGTTAGACAGTAAACCAAAAGGGCACTGAGCTTTTCCCATTACCATGAAGGGTTCTGAAAGCGGCATTATTTAACTCAACTGGCTGCTCTTAACAAAAGGCACATTGTTTCTCTGGATGCCTTCTTCTAGGAAAAGCATCTGTGTGAATGTGGGAAACTTGCACTGGCAAGGCAGTGAAGGTCAAAGTTTAGTCATTTTTCCTCAAAACAGAAATTCAGCACTTGATGGGTTTACAAAGAGCCAACAAACTGATACCCTTTGAATCACTCCAGTTTCACTCTTTGTCTAAAACTAGGTAAGTGTCATTTGCTCGGCCCTTAAACTTTTACTTAACCTCCAGAGTTTTGGATGGATCTGGACCCAAACCATAAGGAACCAGCCTCCAGGCCTGAATCTCTGCTTCCCTCCAGGCAGCAGCACTTATTGCCACTGGATTTTCACCAAGCCACCGTGCTGAACCACCCATGTACCTAACTAGTGATGTAGCCACTACCATTGTTCTCCACTGCCTTAGGGTTAATAGCTCATGTCACACATCATTTCTTCCCATTTCTTATCTCCTGCTGCAGCAGGATCACTGCAAGTGGGAAGAATTCATTGGTTTTAACATTATTGTTTGGGATATTTTCTCATGGATGTTAATCAGTCAGCCCTGTCTGCACCATGGAGGATATACCAGTGTGCTCTCAAGCCCCCATAGGGCAGGCATGCCTCAAATAGTAAAGGGTGGGATAAAATGGAACAAGTAGAGGCTTTCCCATAGAGCATTAAAGTGTTATGGTACAGGATTACATTAGGTCAACATAGGCATTAAGATTCTTGCAACAAACTTGTGATTAAGACAGTTTTAATTTAACAAGGGCTAGTGCATACAAATATTTGAGTACTTGAATATCCCATTCTAGTAACTGAAACTCCAAGTATCCATCAGTCATGGAGCCTTGGTTAACACTGAAAGACCAAGAGGAAGCAAACACCAAGAGGAAGCAAACTCTTCAGGGAGCCAAAGACAGAGAAAATTTTAATA